ACAGATGGTCTGGTGATAGAATTAATTTCAGTGTGTGAGTGAGCAGTCATCCAAGACCAAAACTGACATCTTTATTTTTTGATGCTGTGTCATTTGTAGTATTCAACTGCATTTATTCCTTTTGTGGCTAACTGATCATTCTCCACGCTGAAGTCTTAAAGATGAAGTGCAATCACTTCTTTTCATGCTCTGCAATCTCCTTTCCCTGCTCTGTTTCCTAAAATCTGTTCATGCTTGCCAATGCTTTACCAAGATGCAATGTTACAGAGAGGAAGATGATAAGCAGTTTGCAGTAACTGTTTTTTTTTAATTTGGCCTTGCTCTTCAGCAGGAAAAGACATAACGAAATGCCTTAAGGCCAAGCAAAATTAAATCATACAGGCCCAAAGTGCTCCTGCGCTCTGCATGTTGAACCAGATTTGGGTAGAAAGGAAGAGTATGTCGCAAGAGAGTAGTAATAACCTCTGTACACAGAAGGGATATGGTCTATGATCAACAGCAGGTCAGTAAATAAGAGACCAAGAGTGAGCTGTAAGAGAACCAGTATTTCAGATATTGCAAAAATGTGTTTTAGTAGCATCAGTATGCATAATTACTTCTTTCAATTAGCATGATTGTTTCAGGAATTTTTACAGAAATACATTCTATTTATGATGCAAAACTATAGCAGCTACTTGCTAAGGATTTTTTTAAGATGGTAGATCATATAAACATTATGGTCTATGTACCTCATTTCATTACTAGTCTCCTGCACATGAAAAAAATATTTCAATTTCTGAGTACGGTTCCTTCTTGTTTCTCTTGTTGAACTCACAGATTTATCTTCAGCTTTTAAATAAGACTATATGATGGCCCAAGCTCCTAGTACTCAAATGAGGTGTGAATTGCTTCTTAACTTCTTTCTCTGTAGTCTTAACTGCCTCTGCAAAAAAATCAGACATTTCTCCAAACCCTAGCAAACATGGTTTGGTAAAAATTATAAATCTATGGGAAGAAACAGACAGAGGAACCTGGTGGGGTATCTCCCATGACATTTATCATGGAGGACTGGCTGACCTGGGCATCTGCATGACTGTTAACTTTAGACTTTTCTAGTGGTGCCAGGATGAGCCTCTCCAAGATGTCAATTTCAAAATGAAGATTTGCTAAATTTTGGTCTAGGTACTAGAAGTTTGATGGTACTTGAGTTCTTTCACAACTGGAAACTGCACTTTGAGACACAGTGTTACGTGTGTTAAGTGGCACAGTGCAATCCACTGCAAAAGCCAGCAAGTGAGACTGTGTCAGGCAGAATACACATTTCAGAACTGATGGCTCACATTCTATTTGCATATTTGAAAAAGCAAAGAGCTCTGAGGATGCAGTAATTCGTCAATAGACTCAAAGAATATGTTGAATTGGAAGGGACCCATCCGGATCATTCTGTCCAATTTTTGGTCCTGCAAAGCGCCATCCCCAAGAGTCACACCACGTGCCCAGGAGTATTGTCCAAAGTGACCAACTTCCCTGGAGTGCCTATTCCAGTGCCCAAACATCTTTTCTGATAATCCAACCTAAACCTCCCCTGACTCAGTCTCATGCTGTCTCCTCAAGTCCTGTCACTGGTTGCAACAGTCAAGAGATCAGTGCCTGACACTTCCCTTGTGAGGATGTTGAAAATTCCCTTGTGAGGATGTTGAAAATTGCAGTGTCTCCCCCTCAGTCTCCTGCAGGCTGAACAGAACAAGTGACCCCCAGCTGCTCCTCACATGACTTCTCCTCCAGACCCTTCACCAATTTCATTGCCATCCTTTGAGCCTTCTCCAAAAGCTCAATGTCATTTTTCCATTGTGGCACCCAGACCCGCCCCAGCACTCGAGGTGAGGCTGCCCCAGCTCAGAGTAGAGCGGGACAGTCCCCTCCCTTGCCTGGCTGTGATGCTGTGCCTGATGCACCCCAGGACACAGGTGGCCCTCCTGGCTGCCAGGGCACTGCTGAACCATGTTCAGCTTCCCACCGGCAGGACTCACAGGTCCCATTCCAGGGAGCTGCTCTCCAGCCTCTCATTCCCATCTATAAACACACCCAGGGTTGCCACGGCCCAGGCACAGAATCTGTTTCTTTTCCTCATTGAACTTCATACAGCTGATGCCTGTCCAGCCCTCTCATTTGTCCACGTTTTTCTGCAAGGCCTCTGAGGGAGTAGACAGCCTCTCCCAATTTAGTGTTGTTGGCAAACTTACTTGGTATCCATTCCAGTCTTGCATCCAGGTCCTTTATGAAGGTGTTGAAGAGCACAGGGCTGAGGATGGAGCTCTGTGGAACCCCACCAGTGACAGGTCACCAGTCTGATGTCACCCCGTTCACTGTAACCCTTTGTGCCTGACCCATGAGACAGGTGCTCACATACCACATGATGTGTTTATTTAGCTGAGTGCTGTTTGTTTTGTCCAGAATGATACTGACAGAGACAGTATGGAAAGCTTTACTGAAACCCAAAAAGATTACATCACCTGTCTTCCTCTGGTCAGCTAGGTGGGTTATGTTGCTGTAAAAGGAAATCAGACAAGAAGGACCTTCCCCATATGAAACTACTGGCTGTGACTGATAAGTGGGCCATCCTCCACGTGTTTTTCAGTACTCCCAGAATAATCTTTTCCATGATTTTACCAGGCAGTGAAGTGAGACTTCACTGTAGTTTTCAGGGTCTTCCTTCTTGAAAACCAGGATAGTGTTCAACAGCTTCCAGTCAGCTGGAACCTCTCCAGATTCCCAAGACTGCATAAAAACCATGGAGAGATGTGATGACATCAGCCAGCTCTTTTGATGAATCCCAGTTCCTGGATGAATCCCAACAGGCCCTGTAGATTTGCAGGGATTCAGGTGGAGCAGAAGATTCTGAACATGTTTAGAGTCAACAGGAAATTGTTCCTACAGTCCTCCAGGTCAAGACACTGAGACCCCCTTGGCCCATTAGATGTGTTAAAGACAAAGAATGCACTGAACACCTCTGCCTTGCCCCTGGTCCCTGTATGTGAGGTGACTCTCCTCATCCTGGAATGGGCTGATGTTATTTCTGCCTTTTGACATTATTACATTTGAAAAGACTTTTTATTGTCCCCATTTCTGGCCAGCTTCCACTCCAGTTGAGCTCTGGCTACATAAATTTTCTCACCACAGTGGGAAGCAGCACCTCTGCATTCTCCCCAAGTTACCTGACCTTATTTCCACTGGGCATATACCTTACTTTTTCCCTTATATGCAAGAGAAGATTCCTGCTCAGCCAAGCTGGCCTCCTGCCTCACCTTCCTGACTTCCAACATTTAGGAGTTGCCTGCTATTGTGCCCCTAGGAGGTGATGTTTAAAAAGTGACCATCATCAATGGACCCCAGCTCTCACCCAAATATTTCCCCAGAGGATTTTACTCACTAGTTCCCTGAGCAGTCTGCTATCCTCATGTCCAGAGCTGAGATTTTGCTGGGATTTCCCCTCCCATCAACAGAGATTTTAAACTCAACTGCTTTGTGGTCACCGTGGCCAAGATGGACACCAGTCTCCACTTACGAGAACCTCTCTGCTGACAAGCAGTAGGTCAAGGAGGGACTCTTTCCCAGCTCGCTCCCTTTGCTTCTGTAAAGCTGTCACCAAGGTTTTAAAGAATGTTACAACCTGGGTTGTGCCAGCTGTGTGATGGCTCCCAGCTGATTTCTGGCAAACTGAAGTCCTGTGTAAGGACAAGGACAGTTGATTTGGAAGTGTCCCCTAGTTCCTCAAAGCACCATTGATAAGGGAAGATCCTTACGCTGTTAAATAAAGTCATCTACACCTAGCAAGGATAGCAAAGGCAAGAATTGGACAAAAGCTGCAGCAATGCCACTGCTCCTGAAAAGCCAAGCCCATCTATTGCACATCTAAGATCACACCAGACAGAGAAACTAGAGTTGTAGGCAATAGTTAAAAACAAGACAGGAAAACAAAATCACAGAAGAGTACACAGGATACACTATCTGGTGGCAGTGATATGATTTACTGGAAGTTAGCAACAGAAATTGTCAGGTAATTATTGAAAACACCAGGAGACTCACAAGCAGTGATAACACAGGTTTGTGAGCAAAGACAGACACTGCACAGGATGAAGAAGATGCTGTGACACAAAGGCAGGGAGCAGGGAGCTGATCAGGAAAGAGGAGGAGGCAATTCTGCTCTTCAGGCTAGGACTGGGCATTGCCAAATTACCAGTGATGCTGGAAGCTGCTCTGCAATATACTCATGTGCAAAAAATGTGGCTCTGCACGTATCTGAGCTCACAGATTGACACCGTTCTCTTTTCCCTTCTCTCCCAAATCCAAAAGGTATGTGTGGGAATCTGCATAAGATTCTTGAAAGCATGAATGAATCTTCAAGTATGTCTGAGTACCAAGAAAACCTGCTATTGATGCAGCTATTAAATGTCCCATGCAAATGAAAACCTTTTAAGCAACTACATCTGTCAAATTAGTTTACATTTTCTTAAAACCAAAATCACAGAACTTTTTTTTTCCCTCCTTCTTTTACTGTTTTGTTTCACTACCAGTTTCCTGTGTGACCCTGGCTAATGAAATCATTATAATTCAGGATGCATCACTTACTACTGCTAAGGCACTGCAAAAGTGTAACACATCTTCAGCTGATACACAGCGCAAACAGTAGGCCTAAGAAGAACACCTTTGTCCCTGCAAATTTTCATCTGGTAACTTCTATCTAAGTAAATAAGATCTTTAGAATACTGACCTTTTAGGCAAAGCTTTGAGCACGCTGAATTCTCACACTCTCAAAAATATGGTACAGCATTTCATATCAATTTCTTAGGCTCTCTCAACCTAAGAATAAAGTTGTGTGCTACAGTCAAGGTGGCAAAACACCCCCCCACAACACAAGTGCTGTTGCCAGTAATATTTCAATTTGCATGATCATGCACAGATATATTCTCAGTAATAAAAGAAAACAATACACTCCTCAGAGAAGGAACAGGACAAAATTGTGTAAGTGTACATCATACATTTATTACCGAACAACTCTCTCAACTCCAAAATTGGGCACAGGGATTAAAAATAAAAATTCATTGCACTACCTAGTAAAGCATTACTAGTAACTCTCATAAAAAATGTACAAATTTTGTTAAAAATTTATCAAGCCTTCAAATGATTTGGTTACAGATATTTATAGTACATTTAAAACTACATGTTAAATGATACAATAGCATATGATTTAAAGAAAACACTTAACAAAATATGATTCCAACAAAAACCATAAGCTTTCATAATAATTAGCAAGTCTGAAACAAAAGTAGCAAAATGAGGTAACAATGTACCAAAGGAAAAAACCACAGCTTTTACAAAGGCCCAAAGATAACTCAGTTGAAACTGTTTTCTATAATTAAAATTAAAACAGTTGGTAAGTCTCATCCCAAGTATTATGCATTGTATTAACAGCTGTGAAGTCACATTCAAGAGCCTGTATAAAATGACGTACAACACATGGCCTTACTTCTTCTTTCTAAAGAAAGACAAAAAAATGAGACACTGGAATTATCTGTAGGCCTTGATATCCACCAAAATGTCAAATTAAATTGACAGTTTATGCAAAAAAACACAGCAGTGCCAATATGATAAAGCAAACATATTGGAGGTCAGATATTTTTGTTTTTTTGGAGAAAAAAGAGTCATTGGCTGGCAGAAAGGCAATGAACATAAAGGGAAGTGTTGCTGAATTCAGGTGCTGTCAGGCACCACGGCAGCTGTGCATAATACATGGCAGTTAAGAGCTGAACATAAATCCCCTGCCCTTGACAGTCACCACAGAGGATGTGGTTGTAGCCTGTCTGAGCTGATTCAAAACACAAGCATGTGTGCTCTTTGTACACACTAACCACGGGAAGCAAGTCCACATTCATCCATGCAAACCGAAGAACCATTCCAGAAGAGATGAGCCATAAGAGTGCAACAATTAATTGCAGGATTTTACCAACTTAGACCCTCCATCTCCTAGATCTCCCATTGTCTCACTGAATTTTAGTGGGGGAAAAGGGACATTTCTCCAGTTCCAGAAAGAGAACTACTTTCCCTCAGCTTCAGAAGTATGTGTCTTGTGCACTTGTATCAAGTTTAGAAAAAGTACCCTCTTTCCATGCTTTGAACTGAATACTAGACACAGAAACGTTAGTCATGTTTAAATCTGTACATGGATTTTTTTTCTTTTGCAGTTATATAAAAGAGGCTAAGTTTTGTAAGACATACGTGGCATATGCTTTTTAAACATGATTTTATTTGTTAAAAAAATAAATTTTATTACATGTAATTTAACCTGCTAGGTGCTATTGTGAAAAGCCTATTCTTTAACTCCACTGGAAGAGAGGAAAAAGAAATTCTAATATTTTGAAGTGGAAGTAACGGCATTTTTACTTATTTAGTGTTCCTATGTAAGGATGGGTATGGAAAGCTTCACTGTTTTTGAGAACTACCTGCATAACTAAAGAGGGAAAAACATCTAAAACAGGGTAAAATTGTGCTTTTATTTAGCTGCACCAAGAGCTGTGACTGGTCTGTAAAATCTTCAAAGAGGAAAACCAGCATGGAGAACACCCATCACTGCTGGAAATTTTAACTGATACTAAAGCATAGCAGCATACAAAAGCATCAGAAATGATAAAGAATAAACTTAAAGCTGAGACTGGCAGCAAGCTGTAGCAATACTGGTAATTGTGCCACTTGTGCTGCTGCAACCAAAGCAATGACAATGAATTTATGAGAAGAGTTTAAATGCAAAAAGTGCATCCTTTTAGTAACTGTGGTATATACAGACCTAAAAGATTTTGCTAGAAGACATCAGAGATGTTAACAGTGTAAATATTACAAAGAAAGCTCATTTTTTTCAATAGCCCAAATAAAATATTATTCAGAGCACTTGAATAGACATTATCCCCTCCTATTTCACAGAACTGTTCTGGAAAGTATTCCAAATTTCTCCTCTAGTGGAGCACTCTGGAAACTTGATTGCAAAAACCTAGGGAGTTCCTTCTTCCTATTATACTCATCATGAAGTAAGGAAGGGAAGGAAGCAGCATTAGGGCAAGTGAATTCTGCAGGTAATGACCAAAGCCTACCTCTTCTTGTGACAGGATGAAAGAAATATTAAATTCTACTTCTCTGAGAAAACACTAAAAAATGTATTTTATTAATGAAATTGCAGGAATAAAATTGTAACCTTTTACAAGTTATTTTAGTTACATACCAACTTCCTTGTAGATGACAAAGAATGTATGTGATTAAAGCCAATGTTTATAAGCTAAAAGATGATGTCCTTAGCAAGTACAATGGGAAAAGTTAAGAGCTGTTCCACAAGATCAGGACACCCTCAGTGTACTTTCTGCTTCCTTTCATGGAAGAAACACATAACTGGTAAACCCAGCTAGAGAATTTAAAAGGAAAACAGAAAAACATTGATATTCATATTAGCAATTGAAAACATTAGTATTGCTAAATGTGATATTGCAACTCTACATTGATAAAATAACTTGTAAATCAGCTATTAAAAAATACAGACTTTGTAACATATGATAAAACCCCCAAGGTTACTCATGTATGAGCAATCAATGCATTCTTTAGTGGTACACACTTAAAGCCTCCAGTGAAAGGGAAGCATAACAGCTGTTTGAATAGTAGTAGGTAGAAAGGTCGTTACACCTGTAAGTACATTGGGGACAAAATACTAAATGTCTGTAATTGCTGCACCCATTGCATTCAGTGTGCAACTGCAAACACAAGGAAAGGAACCAGTGTACAGTACTAGTACTGTTTAAATAACACACAAGATTATACATTGCAGCATAATTATTACTACACACATACGTTCTCAGTACATGCTGGTATATAGGTTCTCAAACGCGCACACACAGCCAGCCACAAGCGCGCTTCACTCACCCTCTCACAGGCAAACACACACTCACACTGTTCATCCCCACTCACAGTATCTGAAGGCTCTATATAAGGTAGATTGCTATATTGTTTGGAGCTACCACTTTTTTTTTTCTTTTTCTTTTATATAAAAGCACATGCTAAAAGATCACATCCACAGTAATCTCGCAGCAATACTCGGAATGATCACACAAAACCCAGGGAATGTTAGTGCACACACAAAATTAAGCTAAAAAAAAAAAAAAAAATCTTTGGAGTTCCAATCACACTTGTTAGTAGAACAATCCCGTAACTGTGAAGACTAGTTATAAGCTTTATAATTGATTAAGTCACACAGTGCAAAGTAAGGTCCATTGACCCTTTTGTGTAAAAGGGTAGGCTGGAAGCCACATGGGTAGGTAAGTTCAATAGAGTTCATATATACATGTGACCAGAAACACCCAAACCAGATCTGTGCTCTTAGATTGGTCATTCTGAATCACGATGCACTTCTGAAGCATCAGCTCTACAAATCGGGCAGGTACGATTTGCCTGTAAAACCAGAAAAACAAAAGAGAGTTAACCAGACTGACAAATACATTGTTAAAGTAATGTGTATGTGACAATGCTATCTGTGACAGCTGAAGAGCAACTCAAGAGAAGACAGAATGTACTTACGCCTTTTCTTATTTCGTTTTGTTATGTTTTGTTTATGTTTGAACAGTGTGATGAGTTTTCCAACTCAGAATTACATTTACAAAAAAATAATTGAGCCTTTTATTTTTAAAGACAAAGAAAGACAACAAATAAGGCTCTAGCTAACTGATGGTGCTTCCATTAATGCAGATTCACAATTTCAGTATATTGCAGTCGGATGGATGCAACTAAAAACCTGTACTGTAAGCTGCAGAGAAACCCACCAGAACAAACTGAGACATCTTGGGCTGCAAATAAACATTTTGTGTGATGATGTCATATTGTCACCAACTGATCAGGAATGACATCATACTTTGTTTTATTCAGTTATCATAACAGAAAAACATCATATAGTCTTGGCCAAAGCTGAAAGCAAACCAGGGAAAAAGGGAGGGTCTTTTAGTAAAGTGGAAGGGGAATAAAAAAAAAAATAAAGATGACCCAACCAAGCAGGTATTCAAGTCATGTGCACCACCAGGCCTAGATTTAGCTCTTTTGTAAAACACACACTGAAAATATGTATGAAAATATAACTTGCTTTTCTAGCTTCCTTAAAATTGCAGAAATTGTAAGCTTCCAGGAATTACAGAAATCTACTGTGCCAGGATAAAATGAATACTCATGGACACCACACCACAGTTTTTCAAGTAACTTTTCAAGATCCTACATGAACATCTGCTTTAAATTTAGTTGCATTCTTGTGTCTTTCATGAAATGAATTTCCCCCTCCTGGCATTTAATATGACTCTTTGACGTCAAAAGAGAAGTGAGGGGGACATAATATTGTAATATTGACCTTCTAACTTGCCACTCTTCCAGGCAGACTTAATTTTCTGCTGTAACTACAGAGTGCTGCACAATGAATTGATTTTTTTTTTTTTTAATTTTATAGGAATTTATAGTTAAAATGAACTGCATTTAGAATAATGAAACTATAGGGCTACTAGAATCATCTAAAAACCACTGCACTACTTCGGTGTTAATAGAAGTAAAAGAAGTAAAGTAGTAAGCTGAAGTAGTTACAGTTTGTCTTTTTCTATATATAATACAGCATTTCCTACCTAGCATTTCCAAGTATGTTAAATGCAAAGGCAGGTTGTCCTTTTAAGGTTGCTCTAAACTCTCTGGGTGAAGACAGGTCATGGTGCCAAGCACTCCTTTGGAATGATGACTTTTATTTCATACAAGAACACATTTCTCATGTTTCTCTCGTTCTCATACTTGACTAGAGGATATAGGCTAAGAAGTAGCCAAATGCTTTGAAACAAGAGAATTTGGAATACTACAGAGAGAAGAAGGGTAACCTCTCTCTTTTTAAATCTGTTGTTTCCTCCTCTGTATTACATCTTCTCTTGTCAACTCTAAGTTTGCTTAAATAGAGAACTATTTTAGTTGAAGTGGGCAACCTAATGCACTGTTACAGAACATCTCCTCTTACTTGCTCACCACCTAAAAAGATAGGACTGTTAAATATTCCATGCATACAAGTCAAAGCTTTTTCAGTTTTTTTACTTCTCCATCACCACCACCACCATGCAACCCAATAGGAGTATTTTTAAAGTGCTCAGATTGAATCACTAACCTTTTACTTGTATCTTTCACTAAAGTGACATATGATGTAATTTAAAAAAGACTCAATTGCGCTACATAGTTCTAGAAATAGTCCTAGATACTAGTCCTAGATAACAATTACACTCTCCAAAGAAATGAGATTGAACCAGTAAAAATAGTGACTAACCAATTATGTTTTTCTTTTTCTACCCTGAGGAATAATACTACACGTACTAAAAGCTACAATTTTAACCCTCCCTTGTAGAATTTATGAACATGATGTTGGCTGGATGATGTGAATGGTGGATGTGGACATGATTATACAATCAAGATGCATTTAAAAAACTCTCAAATTCATAAAGGAATGGACAGAAGCAAAACTAAAGCACAAAATATTTTCCAGTTATCATCACTTCCAGATGTTAGCTTTTTAATTATAACCAAGTTTAGACAGAGGCTGTAACTAAAATAGACTGGTTTTACAGGTAATTCGTTACAGCTTCCAAAGCAAAATAGTCTTTATTTCAATAAACCATCTCCAAACCACTGTAACTGAACACACATTCAGTGAAAGTATTGTCTTAATGACCCTACACTAGGATGGGTTAACCTTGTCTATCTTATTTTGCACTCAGCTCTGGAATAACAATGTCAATGCAAGTTTTACTAGACTTAACTGTACCCCTCTACATTTTGATTGCATATCTTGCACCTCATTCTAAAGACTATCTTTAGAAAATACTACATGTGAAGATCTGTTAGAAAATGTGGTTTCTAAGGTGGGACAGGAACATCAGCAAAACTATTTCACTGCTAGAATATGCTAGTACACTATGATTATGAAAAATCGCTAACACACTACGATTATGAAAACAGACTAAATTAAATACACTTCTTTTCATTTTTCAGTTCCAAATTCTATTCCCAGTTCATTAGCAATTGAAATGACTAACTCAACTTTAAAAGTAACACACTGAGTCCCAAAACAGATTAATTCAACATGCTTGTCTGACTCCTGAATGCGATGTCAGGTAAGAAAAAGACAAGCATTATACTTTCCTGGTATGTTCCTGTAACTTCCAGAAACCTGCAGATCAGGTTCTGTTCTATGAATCAGAAGTAAATTTTTTTAAAGTAAATTAGTAACCTGGAAACAGCTGTCTTTAAAGAAATCCACATAATAAACCTACCGCATCTACTATCTCACAGGCTACGTCAAATGGCACCTGTTTATTTTATTTTTACAATGTGGAGAGAATACTATCCCTCGATACTCACTGTACACACCACAACCAACTTAAGAGAGTTTCATGCAATGAAAGATTGACACATGTAGTGTAGATGCTGCTTGACGAGGGAGACATTGAGGAACACCAATTCAATACACAAACTCTCCTCCAGAGGAAAACTGATAATATTATGTGGAGTCTGTGCTTGTGGCATTTTAGCATGGCAGTAAAACAACCAGATGCTGACTCTTGAGCATGTATGTGAATTCAGATACTTTTGGACCATTTCTACCAACAATTATGAGCATTACAAATAGTTACACTGGCCCTAGATTTTGTAGAAGCTTTAGACTTAGACTACCATGGGTACTGTAGCCAAAGGGCAATTTCACATCCCATTTTTTCAAATCCTTCTTATTATTCTTGGTATCTTCTTAGCAAAAAAAATACTTTCAATATTAATTTGATTTTTTTCATTCTCTGCACAGCATATTTTAGCATTTGTCTAAGATATGATGCCATATTTATGATGCCATAAAGGCAAGAGGGTTTTATTTCTCTTGAAAACAACGAACACCATCTATAGTTTTCTAGGGACCATACCAACATAAGATCACTGCAGTTTCCAATGTTCCACAAAACAGACTAAATTGATTAAAGCTGAATAGAATAAAATAGTCAAAAAAATGAGGCACAATGGGAATCAATACCTTGCTGGCAGTAGATATGGTTCAATGCAGCCTGTAGAAATGTCTGCCAAAACCTACTTGTATTTCTTGTTCTTCTCACGATCTGCACAGCTGCTATTTAATCAGTGCTCTTACTGGGTGGTCCTGATTCTTGAGCCTTTGTTTTTTGCTCAGATTCTCTTGGATGGGTAAATAATTTTGTAACACTGTAATTTCTATTTGTATATATTACATTTCTGTGTATATGCATAAACCTAAACACACACATGTAACCCCTTCATTTGCCCCAGAAACAAACAATAGCAAAGTGGGGAAGGAAATATCTTGGAACTCATTCTTGCACATTATTTTGTACACTGGCTGGGAAATGAAAATTGGTGAATCTGAACTACTACAGCAAGTAATGTAAAACAGTTGAAGCCACCATCACCATCAAACTCTGTATCACACCTCCTATACTATTTTCTTTTTTTCAAGTCTTCTTTAATGTTGCATATTACTCAAATGCACAATTATTGTTTTAAGCAAATGGAAAACACAGTAAGAGATGTCAACACAAACAGCTGTATTCATATACATTTTCCCTTGTGCCGAATACTATGAAGAAACAATTTTCATCCATTTTTACAATAATGTAGTATCTAGGCAGTGCTTCTATTCTGCTGTCATTTTTAAGTATCAGAAACATGAAACAAGATAAAATGAAATGGAACAGCAAAATATCCCCACCCTCTCCTACAAAACCACATAATCAATTTCATCTAAGATAGGATTACTTTTTCTTACCTTCAGCCATTTATCAACACACTTGGCATGGAACTCGTGGTTACAGGGTAAGACTCTAAGTAGCTGCCTTGACTCAAAATCACACATGCACACCACACATCTAGAAAAGACAGTGAAGTTCAAATGTATCTGCTATGCAAGAACAACACAGATATGCAATTCCATACAAAACTTTACAGGTATGATTGCAACACAGTAGCTATTTTACTCTTTCAGTAGCTACAGCGATCTGCATATCTGAAAATGTAAACTGAGATTTGACTCTGGGGTTTTATGGGTGTTTTGTTGTTTTTTTATTTACTGTGTTTTCACATCACAAAGCAAGTATTCTCGCTCTTCTGACCTAGCTGTTACTGCAAATTAAAGAAAATAACATCAAGCCACCTAAACTATGGATCTTTCAAAGATACCAATATACTTACAATGTCTGCTCTGACTGGTGATTGTTTGGATTGAACCTATAGGATGGAAGCTGCTCAATGTCTGCTTTTGTTAATCCCCGTGGTTTGGCTTCTCCCAGACGTTCTGCCAAATTCAGCAGTGCCTGCAAAACATGGAAACCAGACATTTAAAAATTCACTGATCAAACAGGCTCTGGTTCCATTAGTGCTAGGGACTACCATCACATCTCACTACCTCAGCTGCTAGCACAAAACACCCTTCTATCAAGAAACGTTTAGAACTTTAGTTCTCCCATACAATACAATACATACAATTACAATCTTTGGGAAGTCTTTCAGAACTTAACCATCTTTGTAAGTATGTAAGATATTATCTCTGGGATTCCAAAAGCCACTTCCCAAGGACTCAAATTCCAGTTAGTCCTGTGACTACATGCACAGCTCAGTAAATAATTAACTTCTGAGGGATCGCCTCACCCTGCTATGAAATTAACAGTGCTGGTGACCAGAAAAAAATTGTCAACTAATTTCCTTCATAAAAACACGTGAATTTGGTCTTCTGAGAGAAATCATAAATTTAATGAGACAGCTTATGATTCCCACTACATGTCTTGAGCTAGCTGAATTTAAATATGGAGGTTTTATCTTCCATCTGGAAAACAAATACATATCATCGAACTTTAAGCACTTTCTCGGCTGCTAATTTTTATGTTAATTTTCTGTAATCCAACAATTGCAACTAAAATCCTTTCATGTATATAATTTGCAATCTGTCGTGTATTTAACTCATGCTCCTTCATGAGGGTCCTAGGAAACAACATCACTGGGATAGAGAATCAGTCTACAGAAAAGATCCTATGAAACGGTATTGATTTCTTAAACTTATGAACTAAGGCCCAAATTCTCAGAAGACATTGTTTCTTCTGAACCACCACAGAAGTTATTAGAGAAGTGCTCATTGTTAAACTGAAGATGTGCAACTACAGAGATCTCAATGGGAGCACAGGCAAAGAAATGCAAAAGTCAGCGTTAATGATGACTAACTTAGGAGAAATCAAATGGAATCCATTAGCTTCAGAACCAGCAAAGAAACAACAGTTGGAACAGCCCCATAATTATATAGGATATTTAAGAGGGTTCTGCATCTCTAGATGTGAATTACCATCCTCTCCAGAGAGCAAGAAGAAAATGCAGTAAGGCAATTTTATAAACATTACGTTTAGATTAATTAATCCTATGATATTAAAACTATTCTGAAAGTTACACTCATAAAGCCATTAACTTACCCTTTTCTTTTCAAAGTGTTTCACTTCTGTTTGGTATTTAAAATAAATTAAATTTTGAAAGGAGAAGAGTAGCATAGAGAACATAAAAGTTGAACAATTTAATGATTACTAGACTGGATAGGTGAATTCTGGGAAAGAGCAATAGACAAGAAAGAAAGCTAAACACTTCTAATATCCAGTATTACAAAAAAAAAATCTGAAAGGACCATTTTTGGATTCTCTTCACAGTCACTACATTTATTTGGAAGGCAAAACCAGGATTAAAAGCAAAATATAATAAAATTTTATCTATTGCTTGAGCTAACATCTGTTCTTTAAAGGTAGTTGTAGTTCACACACCAACCTCATAGTTTTCTACCTCTCCATCTTCCACATCCAACTCAAAGCTGAAAGCTGGTCCAACTGCCGGTGGCACTGGGAGCATTGATCTACCACGAGAGCAAACAAGGATAAGGTTCAGCATCTTGCTGAGGGAAAGCACAGAAACATCTGGCAGAGGTAAAGTAACCTTTCTGATGCCTCTCAAACCAACATGTTTTCAGAACTGGCAAAAATGTTATGTTTGAAATCAAGAACAGACATCTGAAGTGAAAGAGTCACAGGAAAAAGCTTTTTCTGACATTGGGAATGCTGACTTTTTAACTGCATGCGCGTTTCACTCGGTACTTTTAACCAACAATAATCTAATTATCACAGACCATGGAGACCAAAAACTGACAAAAAAATTGAAAAAAATTCTGGTTTTAAACATGTTCTATTTCTTTAAGTGGATAAAAGACCATCAAAAAGGAATGCCAAGTTCATTTAGATCTCCAACATAAAAATCTTGCAACTTCTGCAAGCCTAAAACACACAGTGAAGATAAATAGGATTTGCTACCAGACTAACTTCCATCCTGAAAGCAAGCACAAATTCACTTTCTCATGTACTGTGATGTTGGTTAAAGCAGAATCCTTTCAGACTGAGAAATCAGAGAGATGTTTTTCTGTTTGTATATTAGTATGTCTTTTTACCCCCCTAGGTAGTACAATGGGTCAAAACTTCATCCACAGACATGGAAATCACAAAATCAAAGCACTAAATACAGTAGAATCAGGAATTACTGTGCCACATCATGTCCTCAATGAATAGGCAAGAAGCTATGACTTTATTTTCAGACTGCAAGATGAAAAGTTGAACAACTTTGCTGAATCAGTTTTCTGGTGCCATTTTCATGCTACGTCTGAAACTGCACAGAGAGAATCTACAGATCTGGTGTCTTGGTTATTTCCTTGTCAATGTCACCTTTGCCACCAGAAACTTAATCTTTGTTTTCCAAACATTTAAATCTTACTTCCAATATAGAACACAGAAGACTAATACATCTCATGTGACAGACCCAAACTCTCTTCCAGAGAGTCTACTGTAACACACTACAGATAATTCCTAAACATTAATTGTCCCACATCTTTTCCAGAAACAGATAATCAGAGGCAGAACAGAAATATGGCAGCTGTGACAGAGTAGCACTTCAGCCAATGAAGAGTAACACATCACAGAAGTTCCCACTCTTGTGATTTATAAATAAGAACCAAACCAAATTTATTTATTCCATAAGTGAAGACTCCTACAACTTGATCCTACAGTGTAACTATGCCTCTGTAAGAGTACCGCAGAACTATGATTTAAAATCTGTTGAAGATTTTACCAAGAGTTCAGAAACAAGAGGCTAACTGTGCCTCAAAATACCTACAAAACTACACTGGACGAAAACTATTTACTTGTATTTTTCCTTGCTCAGTGGTGTAGGTTATTCAAAATAGGCTGAAAAGTTTACACAGAAATGGAAGTTTTCCTCTGAAACAGAGGTGAAATATGAGTAGTCTCTGGTAGAGTCCAACCATAAAAAGTGCCAAGATGCTTGCTGACTTCTTAATAGCCTATATGGAAGCAAATGTACTTTTCACTTACAGCACATAAGGTAATAGGCTGGGATGGTAAGGGTGTGGTGGTATTGGCTGCTGTGATCGGTATCTGCTGCGCCCTGTGAGTCTTCGAGGCATAAAAGGTGGGTAAGGCTGCAAGAAAGAAGAAAATAAGCTTCAACTGAAACTTGTGGAACTGGAACTTGTGTCCAGTTTTGGGCTCCCCAGCACAAGACAGACATGGACATACTGGAGAGAGTCCAACAAAGGGTCACTAAGATGGAACTGGAGCATCTCACGTGTGTGAAAAGGCTGAGACAGCTGAGCCTGTTCAGCCTGGAGAAGAGAAGGCTCCGGGGGATCCTATCAATGCATATAAATACCTGAAGGGAGGGTGCAAAGAAGACGGAGCCAGGCTCTTTTCAGTGGTGCCCAGTGGCAAGACCAAAGACATTGGGCACAGACTGAAACACAGTAGGCTCTGTCTGAACATCAGGAAACACTTCTTTAATCTGAGGGTGACTGAGCACTGGACCAGGTTGCTTAGGGAGATGGTGGAGTCCCCTTTCTGGAGATACTCAAAAGCTGGCTGGACATAGTCCTGGACATCCAGTTTTAGGTGGCCGTAAAACGTCCTTGAGGTTTTACCTTAGGCTTGACCATAAAACCTCCCTTTCAACCTTATCCAGTCTGTGAGCCCATGATTCAACATTTTCTATGCTTAATCTCTACCCTCAGTAATGAAACCTACTTTCAATAAATCATTATTTTAAAAATCCACGCTCTGCTAAATTCCGTAAGAATCTCAGCCTCAATTTGAAATTACTATTCCCATCTATAATATACAATCATACCACTTCAAGTGAGAAAGTGGTAATATACAACAGAAATCCTTACAAGTTCTTGTGTGTTTACTGCTGGTATAGTTTGGGAAACAGGATGTGAATTGCTGACCCTCTTGTAAATAAAAAAGGCTAACACACTACTATGCAGGCCTGTGCATAAGCAGTTGAGTAAAGAAGCCCTTAAAAACTCATTAAAAATGAGAATTTAAAGAAAAATCTGTTTAAAAAACCTCTAACATTCAAGCAATGATATATATTTACATTTAGGCTTAAAGGCTTGAAGTCTTTCAGGTGTATGTGGGAGGTTTAATCACTATAATTTCTGCAGCTGGACAACACACAGAGAGACACTCACGCCCAAAGTTTCAATGCATTCATTCCATGGATAAATCAGGGCGCTTTTTGTCATCTTTTAGTAAAATGTTTATGTATTTTCTGCAACTGAAATTTATGTGTTCCTACTGAATTCATATTTGAGGGTCTTAAGACTTTTTTTTTTAAACAAAGAACACCTATCTAAGCCTTTACTAACACATTTTTCTTACATGTTTGAAATCTAAAATCACAGCACCCCAATGACTAACCTAAAATCCCCTAATTTTACATTATATTATAATTACATAAATTATAATTAGATAGCCATACATAAAAATAACATATGAATATAAACACAATGCAAAAGAAACAGGTTCCTTTTGGTTGAAGTCTCAAACGAGATGTATCAATTTTACTGCTTTATGAATTCTGCAATCCGAAAACATAATTAGAAATTGTTGTGTTCATGGAATGAGAAAGAATCAGAAATGCAGCTATTCTACTGTAATGTTAATGCAAATAAAGCCTTTTAAAGACTTATTATTACTTTATAAAAGGCCACATGGTTACTTGTAATATGTCTCTATTCTACTCCTTAGCAATAAACAATACAGAGCTGAGGCATCAGAGAGGACAAATGCTACAATCTGCAGAAAATGGTATTATGTTCCCTATCTACTTTAACAACCAAACTTAAAAATTAAGGAAGTCTGACTCCAAGCAAAACATGTATGATTAGACTGACTCATCTAACAAGCATACTGAATAAAATACAAGGAGTATATGGAAGCTTTTAAGCGTCCTGGATTCCAGAGAGTCTCATACTGCCTGAAAACTTCATTCAAAATCAGTACACTTTTAAATTAGGAGTAAGTTGATCACTTTTTGAAATGGTGGACATTAATGTGAACCTTCATAAAAACTGCAGCAAGCATTTGCCTAGGCTCTGTGATTTCAAGGAGACTCAGTAAAGACAAGGTATCTGCATATTCCACAGCTGCAGGGCCTAAAATTTAATTATTATTTAAAATTTAAATAACAATATGCCCATAAAACCACTGACAACTTCATGCACATGTCAAACAATAAAAAACTGCAGCATCTGTACTTGGGATCTAGTTTTTTCTTTGACAAAGATCCTAGAAGTAGCATCACTGAACACACCACAGAAGCACACAATTCAACAAAATTCAACACAGATTTTATCCTGCACCACTCTAAATTTTATTTTGTGCTGCTGTAGTTGAACTGCCTGTCAATCCCCTGAAAGCTGACTTACATCCAGCTTTATAACATGGCTATATTTATAATATACGGTGTGGTCTAAATTATGGAAGCACTCTACAACTGCTTAAAGAGAAAAACTGCTTTTAAAGCATTCTGGCTTTCCTGAGCTGTGGAAACTCAACATGATGAAGAATTAACTAAAAGAAACAATGTTTTTTTCTAAACTGTACTAACCAATTATTGCAACAGAAGTCCTGGACTATGTAACAACATGGAAGTTTTCTAAGTAAATCCTGCTGCACTCTGCAGGTAATGTTACTGGAAATAATTTGCTGGTGTCATTAAATTACCCTTGACTTGATTAACAGAAGCTTAAAAAAAACCCACAGTATGCAGCTATTCCAACAATGGAATATGATTGTAGAAGTGTGACTTTTCAACCAAATGTACTAGAGAATAAGGATCAAGAATGTTAATGCAGTATGAAAGAGAATGTAGCATAGAAAACAATACTTACGACCCCAAATGACACCTCCTGGTGTAATGGATCATGGGCTAAGAATTGAAGAGGAGCTGAGGGAGGCAACGTTGGTGGATGGGCTGAGGGAGGGTATGTAAAACCTCCTACAGGAAGATGTTCTCCAAGCAATTCTACATCATTTTCTATCCTTTGAAGTGGCTACAAAAAAAACAGAGACACCCTTTGTTGCAATAATAGAGATGAAATCATTTCCCCAGTAAAAAACTGTAGTCCCAGCTGTATATTCTGTGCTGCTGTGATCAATTTTATACTAACTCTGTGAACAACTCCTAGGTCATTAAAACTAACCAAAAAAAGCAAAGATAACACTACACATTTGATATAAATTCACCTTTTCAAGATAGCCATGCTTATAGACCAGGAATTTATGTGATCTAGAAAATATAGGAGTGACCGTAATTTTCTGTATCTTGCATTTTTCAGGACAAATATTTACTCTCCTTCTTGTCAGGCTGCTCTAACTGTATAATATGCCAGACAAAAAAAAAAAAAAAAAAAAAAAAAAAAAAAGAACAACCATGACAAGAACTGAAATTGTGCCAGAAAAACTGAAAAGTAGAGGGAAATCATGGTTATTCCAGTAGATGAAACTGATAATGACATCCAGAAAATAAGCAGAGACTTTCCTAGGAGGGTCATGCAAGCAGTCCTAACAAGTAGTCCTGAGGTTTTAGAACCATGAGATTCCAGAAAAGTTTTGTTTCTAGTCAAATCTATTACATCAGTCAGGTCCAAAAGTGGCCAAGAAACAACCAGGAATTCTCACTGTTTCATAAATCCATAATTTTCTGTTACTGACACTGAATTCCACCATTTCAAGAAATTCAGCTAAGAAAGCCACCTTGTGGAACCAAAGGAATATTCTGTTTTCCTGCTACACACAACAAACAAGATATTCTTAAATCACTATGATACAAGCTTTTTGGCAGAACTGAAAGCTGACAGGCAAGCCTAGTTAGAAAACTATGTAAGCAACTTGAGCTGAAACCTGAGTCCATATATTTTCTAAAGCTAAGTCATGTAAAGATTTCTGCCATAAAAACCCACTTTGTTAGAATGACAAGAGCTGTTCTCCCATCACTGTAATGAAGTGATTTCAATCCTATCCACACCGGAGATATGGCATGAAGGAGTCTCAGCAGTGTTTGCAGCAATAAAGTTATATTCTATTTCTGTGTTACTGAAATACCTGCATCTTCTACTCAGCAGGGCAAACAAATGAACAAGTACTCAGATAACCACATAGAAAGAGTGGTAGGCCAGAACTATAAACCTCATCTCCCCCTAAATCTAAAACAGGGTCACATTTTCCCATGTCTGCATAGTCTGTTTCACTAAGGTAAATCTGCTTAAGCAACAACATCAGTAACTTTCGTAAGTGTAAAGAAAATGTCCTAGGAAAAGGACTGGTCATTTAAAAATTAATCAGGAAGTAATCCAAAAGAAACATGCAATTAAAGCAACACTGTGCTTTTTTCTCTGCTAAGCTTTTCTCCAAGATGCCTACTATATGCTTATACAACCTCCTCCAGATTCTATTCTGCCTCCTGGGAGAGAAATACCGGATGGTGAAGGAAATATCCATCCTTCTGAGAAGTAAAAGCCTATGGAGAAACAGCACAGACAATGATGAAATCTGAAGTGAAACAGTGTAGAAGTATTTTTTCATTTTCATACCAAGCAGGTATTTCAACAATTTGAAAGAAAATCCTTGTTTCCTCACTCAGGTGTCAGTACTATGTGCCCATCCAGCCCACCAGTTCTACTGAGGGTGGAGTAAGAAGCATTACTTACCGACCGTGACTGCTGTGCTTGGAAAGGAACAAACTGTCCTGGAGGAGGTAAGTGAGGAGGGTGGTGTGTAGAGATATGAGGAGGATGCAAAAGAAATGGGTCACTAGAAATGAGGGGTGGAAATGCTGCATATGGTACAGGTAGGTGCTGGACTGAGCACGCCTGAAGCATCTGAAATAAAATGAAAACAATACATTTTTGGAGCATACACATTCCCTATACAGTGTTCTACATTCTATGCATTTACTATGGAAAGACATAATTGCAACAGAACAGTTATTTAGCCTTGTTGAAAAAGCCTTCAAAATACACATAAATAATAACACATTCAAATACCCAAGGAACAGTGATTACTACAGAACAGGTTCCAGGAAGCAGGAGTGTGACATCTGCTGTGAGCTGCTCATGAGGTCACCAGGAGTCTGGATCGTCAATACTCCAGGATTAGACAGGCTCCTAAGTTATGAGCAGACACCATATCCTAGTTAATTTTATTTTTCCTCCATATCATCATCAAAACAACATGCCAAAGCAATGGTCTTGCAACCACCTTAAGCTCCAGATGCAGGTGAGGGACTTAACTGTCAGATCAGACCTTTGCTGCTTCATATACCATGAATAATTCCTACAGTCTGCTCAGTTTTGCACTTTTGGATGAGTTCTATACTCTAAAAGTAGCTCCTTAGTGACAGATACTACAGGAAATAGCTCTTTTTCTTGCCTTCTTTAAATTCCTGACACAAAAGCAACTTTAGGCACTAATGTTTGAACACTAAAATGATGAAGGCACTGCAGGAGAATAGCAATGTGCTTTGTGGCGTTTTCAGTTCAGTTTTACTTCCACCTTTATATATGGAGGAGCAAGGAACTTGCATTCCCTTTTTTGTTGCACTTTGATCCATTACGAGAGCATCAGACATTTCTTTTACACTTTTATCAATTACAAGACTGTTTAATTAAGATATTAATTACCCAATCTTGAAAAGAAAGACCACCCAGTTTTGAGCTCTCACTTTTTTTTCTTATTGGTAATGTCACACATCATACATTTATATATTGATTATAATAGCATAAAATAATAAAAGGAATTAATTTAAAATTATATTTCTGTAGTGGAGGAAACTATCATCTCAATTTGTATGATCATGACCAAACATGAAACTCCAAATACACCAAAACACTAGTAGATTAATTTGATCCAGCTCCTATTTTTAATTTAAATGCTGACTGGTTCTTTTCCCTCAGTTACTACATAATTTTTTCTAAAAAAACAAAACAAAACAAAAAATCATTAACAGTGTTTCTATGGTTATAATAAATTTTTATTTTATTTTACTAAATTGAAAACTGTCCTCTGAAATAGCTGAAGATCAATTTGCAGGTAGAACACATCAGAGTCTTTTTCAGAGCATGAGATTCTTTGGGAAACACTGAAATAGGATTCTACACGGTAAAGATTACCATAGCTGCTATATGTTTGGAAATGTTTGACTTGTGCTATGCTCATGTCACTTTGTAAAGTTAGGGCAAATGAGCCCACACTAACTTCCAAGCAGAAAGAAATTAAAAATACATGTTTTTTCATTCAAGCTTTTAAAAAGTTCTTCAGTTTGGAGATATCATAGAATGACCTGGGTTGGAAGGCACCCTAAAGATCATTTTGTTCCAAACCCTCTGCCATGGGCAGGGACACCTTTTACTAGACCAGGTTACTCAGAGCTTCATCCAACCTGGCCTTGAACACTTTCAAGGATGTGGCATCCATAACTTTTCTGGGCAACCTGTTCCAGTGCCTCACCACCCTCATAATAAAGAATTCTTTTTCCTAATATATAATTTAAACCAACTAATTTTCTATTCAAAGACATTCCCCATCTTCCTCTGTCACTACATGCCCTTACCAAAACTCTCTATCCAACATTCTTTTAGGCTCCTTTCAAGTACTGGTGTTAGGGTTCCCCAAGGCCTTCTCTTTTACAGGCTGAAAAACCAAATTATCTCAGCCTTTCTTTATATAAGAGGTGCTCTATTCCTCTGATCATCTTGGTGTCCCTCCTCTGGACTCACTCCAGCAGTTCCATGTCCTTCCTGTGCTGGGCCCCCAGAGCTTGATGCAGGTTCCAGGTGGGCTCTCAGCAGAGCAGAGCAGAGGGGCAGAATCCCCTCCCTCCCCTGCTGCCCACACTGCTTTGGATGCAGCCCAGGACACGTTTGGCTCTCTGGGCTGGGAGTGCCCATGGCTGGGTCATGTCCAGCCTCTCACCCAGCAGCACCCCCAAGGCCTTCTCACAAGGCTGCTCTCCATCTGCTCAGCCCCAGCCTGTGTTGGTGCAGCACTTTGTTTGGTCTTGTTAAACCATGTGAGATTTCACATGGACCCATTTCTCAAGCCTGTCTATGTCCCCCCAGATGCCATCTTGTCCTTTGAAGAACTTTTAAAACTGATGAAGGTATTTAATAAATGGCATTTATTTACTTCATAGTTACATATGCAGTGAGAGAGACAAACATTATGAAAATAACAAAAGGCAATTGGGAAGTTCACAGATAAAACTGGTGAACAAACTGACATGCTGGAGTGCATGGGCTACCTTGAGATGTATTTTTAGAGGCTGAAGAAATTGGCTGACAGTAACTATGAAAAGTTCAAAGGCAAACGTGAAGTCTGGCACTGGAAAAGAGTAACTGAATGGATCAGGGCACTCTGAGACTAATTGGCTGCAATCAGATTTTCAGAAAAAAGTGGGGCTGTGGTGGACATATACACAGTACCCATAATGTACTCAGTCAAAAAGGCCTGTGGCATGTTGGGCTGCATGGTTAAGAAAGTAACTGGTGAAGCCAGTGAAGTGATTCTGCCCTTCCATTCAGAAACTGTGACATTTATCTCAAGTCCTGGGCCCAGTTTTCAGCCTCCAGTGGCAGAGACAATGACAACATGATGACCAGGTCTTGATGAAAGTCACGATGACCAGTGACTTGGAGAAATCTACATAAAAGAGGTGGCAGAACTAGACTTGTTCTTCTTTACAAAGAGAAAACTAAGCAAAAACCTTATCCCTATGTCTAAGTATTTCTGAGAGTGGACAGGAAGACTCCAAGTCCTCCTCATGAAGCAAAATAAAAGAGCACAATGGGACCAAGATACAACAAAGAAAACTCAAGTAGAAATTCCTCATCACAAGGACAGTCAAATACTGCAGCAGAAGCTTAGAGGAGTTCTGAAATCTCCATACTCGGAAGTTGGTACTGCAGCAGACAACCTCCAGAATCCCCGCTTAACTTAAAACTATTCCCCAATTTCATGCTTTAACAGAAGAAAGCATGAAGTCTCCCTGCTGAGGCTACGGAAACTGAACTGCTTATATTCACCTGTACTGGATCTATTCTCTCAACACACTTGATTAACTGCTGAACATTCAAAATAAAAACCAGAGGTTTACTCCTATATGTATTAAAAGGACAGCTGCATTGTTGAATAACAATACATTTTATGAATTGCACAGATAATACCCTTATTCAAAACATAGGGTAAGATTATTAGTATCATTTGGATGGATTTCTCTAAGCCCCAATACGGTTTCATATTTTACTCTGTTGTTTCTTAGGACATGTCGCTTTTTACCTTGCTGAATTTACTATGAAAGTATTATTCCAGTCTCTGAGTACTTATTCTGAGATTGCTTTGTTCCACTAACACCACCACTAAACCAACGAAAAAGGCTATCTCTCATGCTGCCTCAGGGATACACACCAGCTTATGTAACACACTTTCACCAATTTGATGGGTAAGGGGAACTAATTCTCACAAATACCCCAGAGTTGCCAGCAGCATGCTGCAGACATTGGGATAAATGGTACATGGGCATGATAAATGCAAATTACACTTACTTTTCAATGAGCAGCCTGAAGAAATAAATGGACCATATAAGGGTTTTGTTTCAGAGCCACACAGGCTTATTCATGTCACAGAATGCACCACAGGAAAAGCAAAGCTACATACTGCTGGCAGAGACCAACATTATACCAGCCTCAAAAGTGTTCACTAGACCCTGTATACAGCACCATGTATGACATTATAAAATTATACTAGAAAAATAGATTGAAGCTGGTGTTGTTAGAGAGACCCACTTACTGGGGGAGGCACACTGCAAACTGGAAGGTGCTGGCCACTGAAAACCACTGAGCACCCTGGGACCTGCTGCGTGCTGCAGGCTGGAATGTGCTGGCCTGTGCAAAGTGGTATTCCATGAGGAGCCACAGTTGTCACTGTGTATGAAACAGGAACTGTGCCCTGATGAATCTGCAGCAAAAGGAAAAGAAAATGTATTTAATAACTTATTGCAAAGCCGTAACACTGTTGTACAGCACAGTAAGGTAACAAGCTTTTACTTACAGATCAGAAAAATAATATATCCACAAAAGAAGTGTAAAAGGAGGCACATGATTGTAAGTTCTGTTCATTAAAATGTTTTCATCAATGGAATATTTATTGATCAGAATTTCTGGGTAAGAGGGATCTCTCAGCTTAACATGTTAAAACGTCAGTGGCACTGTTCAGCCAGACTCGTCATGAACTTACAGCATAAAGCAAAGCCATTATCTGATCACTAGCAGAAGAAGTGTTAAAAATATAAGTTTATTAGACTGCTAGAATGGCATTGGCTTCCATCCTTTCACTTGGTCACAAATACAAATACTTCCCTGCTGAGAACTGCTCTGCACACATAGTATGACACCAGTGCTATGCAACTGCACTGAATGCAAACCAGTTTTTAAGCACAGATGTTACAGCTGCATTCTGTGCACATGCAGCTTCCAATGTAGACATCCACGTAGCCAGGTCTATTCATGGCTATGTAGCAACTAGTGTACTTGTGCTGTGGCCTGTTAATTTAGTAGACAACAAAAAGGTTACCTCAACAGGATCACAGAATCATTTAGGCTAAAAGACCCCGAAGTTTATCAAGTCCAACCATTAATCCAGCACCGCCACCCCTAAATCACATTATGTCATTGCCACACCTATGTGTCTTTTGAATACCTGCAGGCATGGTGACTCCACCACTCCCCTGGGCAGCCAGTTGCAATGCCTGACAATCCTTTCCTTGGATATTTTTCCTAATATCCAATCTAAACTACGCTTGTGCAATTTCTTGTTCTGTCACTTGCTACTTGGGAAACCAACGCCCACCAGGTTATAACCTCCCTTCAGGTAGTGTTAGAGAATGGTAAGGTCCTCCCAGAGCCTCCTTTTCTCCAGGCTAAGCACACTCAGCTCCCTCAGCTGCTCCTCATGTGATTTGTGCTCCAGACCAAACCAGTTCCATTGCTCTTCCAAAAACATACTCCATCAACGCAATGTCCTTGTAGTGAGAGGCCCAAAACTTCTTTTACAGGTCCTCAGTTGCATAATTCTATACAAAGTGCTGTCACAGAGAGGAATTATTTATTATCTGGACCAACTATGTATAGAATTTTTTCATATAATTTATGGAGGAGTTGATTACGCTTGAAGGATTAATTTAGGTATGCAACAAAACTATCATGAGCTCTGCTGTCATACAGACAACCAACTATAGGCAATGTGAATTCTTCCTCTAAATAGTACATTTTAACTATTTAATGACTCCTAAGCTAAGGTGAGGTATTTCACGTGAAACAGAATACGTAATTAATAAGTATCATAGCACACCTTTATCACAGGAAACTAATTACAAAAACAAAATAACTTCATTTCAAAGGTTTAAGACAGAGACACAGAGAAATATGCCAGTTCATGCATTGACAAATTGTTAAGTATGAATTGTTAAGTATCAATCTTCTTCACTAAAAGTGTGAACTTCTTGGGGTTTTTTTCACTGTCTATGGCAATGCTTCATACACATAATATGCAACAAAAACCACCACTCTGTAAGAAGTCAAATAGAATTTAGTGCTCTGTGACTTCATTGTCAACTACGAGATGAGGTGAACTATTTGGTGAGGAGAGGGATCTTCAAGACGGAGGGAAAACCCCCCAAAACCAACCACCACATCTTAAACAGCCTTCTGTGCTCTGAAAATTTTACCTGATCATGAATGTCAACCATCACTGCATTCTGCTGTGGTGGGTGAGCAGCTGGGTGCAACATACGAGGAGATACATTCGGTGGGCGAAAGGCTCGAGGCTCTTCTATTGCTTGCTGCTGTCCATAGGAGAGATGGTGATAGTTTTCGTCCTGGCTAATAGAATTATGTCTAGACAAACGATCTCTCCTTGTTCTCTGACGTCGAACAGGAGGACTGGAAATGCATTAGAAAAATTAGCGGTTATATAAATGACACAAATTCTTTTTAATCACTAAAACATCAAGAAAATAAAATATCAAGGAATTTTTTAAATTGGAAAATTTTCCTGGAACAAATTTATTAGATTGGAATAAAACATTTTTAATGACAGAACTGCTAGAATCCTTATAAATGACACTTTTTCTAGTATGGAAATACTCAACAGAGCATAGCTTAATGCTGTTAGGGAAACCAAGAGAAGAACTCCTATGCAAATATTACTGTGTTAAAAAAATGACACTTGGATTTCCACAGCAGTGGTCAAAAGTCAAGATAGCAATCTTCACGACATTCCCATGCCTTTACTCTATCTAGGTAAAAATCCTTCATTAAATGATCACAGATTTCCCCAGGATCTTTGTTTCAACCACACCACAGATGATTGCTTGCTTAGTGACAGCAGACAAAGCAGTAGACTTCTGTGAAGTAACAAATTAATTTTTCAACTCTCATATGTTCACTACATAACTGAGTGCATTCTAAGATTCTTTCCAGAAGATCCCAGGGAATTATGATTGTGGTATTGTTTCTTTTTCAGAGTGGAGAACATCTGTAGATAAATTTAGACCAGAGCATATACGTCTTTTGAGCAACTGATCTACAGGTGTAGGATTTGATTATGTATTCTTATATAATGGTGTGTATGTTCTGAGCAAAGCTGCAAAGACCTTGAATCAGAACTTCCAGAAATCAGAGACCATTGGCTCAGATTCAGCACTCAGAAAACAGTGCACACAAATGTGATAAACTTACTATGAGAAATCTTGAACAAGTCACTTCTCATTTATTTGGAAGGGGAAAGCACTGAAAGCACAAAATGATCTTGCAGTACTTTCAGCACATGCCTTCCAATCTCCACAACACGCTCAAGTTACAGGTCCCAGAAGCAACAGCAAATTAAAGCTACACAGGGTGAAACCATTTCCCATTTATTGAAAGAGGCTAAAGGACCCAAACTGCAGAGAAGAGACAAAAAGGATCTGTGATCATTATTAGAACATGTCCTCTCCAACACTGCATGGAACAGAACTTTTGCTATTACCAAATAAAAATTAAATAAACCTCCAAGCTGTTGGCAAATCCTAGATAATTCTCAGGTTGAGTCTAACTTTTGTGCTGCATGGAACAGACATACTCAGGGGAAGTGAGACCACATCACCAGCTGCCCAGATGCTACTGTGAGTACGTGATACACTGTCTCAAGCCAGTATTTGTCTACCCTACCTCACCAGAGACGTAATGACTTCATTGCCTCTCTCAGAACTGAAACAAATTCTCACAGGTCAGACAGAAGGCGTAAGGCCAGGCTGTATGTAACACAGCAAAGAAAAACCCAAAAATTTAAAAATGCATAACCACCTTAATTTTTATAAACCACACAGCAGAACATACAAGCTGTGTTTTCTTCTAACCACTGAGAACCTAAATTTAAGTTCTTACTAATATATTTTATCTTAAATCCAGTTTTCTTTCCCGAAGTTTTTGTTGCACTCTGTATTGCTTTATTACTAATATGATATAACTGCTACATTCTCCTTAGGTAAAATTAGCATATATAACTTTTAAGCACAGAACGAGTAATACAGATGTTTTACTGTTTGGAGTACTCAGGTTGTTTTAAATTTTCTATTTCCTGCAATGAAAAAGAAATGGTCTAAACATTTTAATGTAAAAATGCCTGTGTGAGGATTTTTCTTTGGAAAAGTTCCAAAAACATAGAAAAGTTACAAAAGACAGCACCACTGCTTCAGAACAGAAATTATCTTAATTGCCACCAGTACTTCAACAAGGTGGCTTCTTAGACAAGGTTGTTCTCATAAAACTAGTCTTGCCTCTGTCTTGGTTAAAAGGCCTGGTTTTAGTTGCCTATAAACCCAGAATTATGGAAAAAGCCAACAAGGACTGGCAAAACTTCTGGAATGTCTTTTTAAATGAATGAAGAAATATCATTCTCTGGTAAAAAGCAAAGCTAGATTTTTTTTCCTGTGCAGAATTGTAAACATACTAACCTTTCAGTCAGCAAAATTCAGAGCATCTGGATACATAATCAGTTTCTGAATTATTGGAAATTACTTCAGAATAATTGGCAAGACATGGGTCTAAACTATTACTGAACTTCAGCAAAGAACTTGTGCTTAAAGACTTCAAAAACAGCCACAAAAAAATCCTCTGTTACTACATGCACAGTATAAACATGGTAAATGCCAGGTTAAAACAAAGAGACAGGATGAAAGTGGTGAAAAAATTGCAGGAATTCCTACCCTCAGGTAAGAACAGCCATCAAAAGGTATCCATAACTGCAGAGTTAGTATGTGCAGATCTTAGTATTTCTAACAAGGGTGATTTCTTTGCAGTAAGACATTCTTGAATCCCTTTAGTTCAGAATTACATTCAAGACAAGGAGGAAAGGAAGCACAGATGAAAGGTAAGGCACAGCAATGGTACAGATCCCCCCATTTCACAATGACTGATAAAGATAAATTGGAATGGACTTCTCTGTTTCACACAGGCATGCATCATGCTTTTACATTCATAATTTATCTGTACAATATAAAAGTATCTAGACAAAACTAACCTTTCTGCAAATTCACACCAGAAGGCTATCTTTTTCAATGCACTATTTATTTGCTTACAATGAATCATTATAAAAAACCACAACAAATTAGGACACTCTTTTTTTAGGCACAGTACAAAATTACTGATACCAAGAGGTAAGGTCAAAATAGTAAGGCAGGTAATGGAAAAAAAAAAAATAAAAAAAAATCCAGGTAATAAAAAATGCCAAGACAAACTGTCCTGACCAACAGGAGTCAACTGGTAGGATGAAAGAGTTAATGCTGATGACACTGGGGCAGCAATACCCACACTAGACACACTTCAAAGCTATTGCCTGCACTTGCCCTAGCTTGTTTCCTTGAGTTCAATGACCATTTACAGCTGGAGTGCACCTTTCATCTTATCTTAACCTGCAAACCTGGTGAACTCTGAAACCATCCTGCAATGAGAAGAGAAAACAAAGCTGGGAACACAAAAAATTTGCTTCAAAGCACAGGCATAACCTCACTTAAAGCATTAATAACAGATTCACTTATAATTATCTTAAGGAATCAAGCTTTTGATCCATGAGAATGGCTATTAGTTCTGGTATGAATCCAGAGCACTCTTAAGATTCAGGAAGACTCCCACAAAACAAGAAGCATGTATATATTGTTGTCCCTAAAAATCCTGGTTCCCCAATGGGTTAAAAAATGCTTCAACTCAAATGCAGGGAAACAAAGTACCGACACGTTCAAATGTCTCTGATTTGTGTTAGAAAGACTTGTGTTATTACCCAGGAACAGGTGAGCTGGCCATAGAAAGAGTAATGTTTGTGTCCATAAAGCTGCAGCCAACCTAACAGCTTCTGCCAAACCGAAGATGACTTTCTAATGGAATGTCTCCCTCTTTACAAATAGTTTACTTGCAAAAGCCACAGGCTACTACCTCAGTAGCACTTGACTGCAACTGAGTATCAAGACATTTGTCCCATGCATATTCACCCCTTACACATTTCCATTTTCATCCTCCATCCCAAAGTATACCCAAACTGTCTAGATTCTGCTATCTAGCATTTAGCTTGTTAAGCATGCTGTTTATCTTTGCAGATGTTAATGCACATTGCAAAGAAATTTGCGTAAGCTGACTGGACACCAAACAAAAATGACTGAATGCACATACTCTAGGCATCTCAGTTCAAACCATTTGACTGAGGTCAAGATCATTTTGTGGGACAAATACCCCTAACAGAGCATCCTTGTACCAAACTACATGAAAGGTACGATCTTTTGTCTTCACAACAAACCTTTTAAATTCACAATTCAACCTTTTTCCTAAATCTGACGATCTGCATTGAGAGCTGCGTATTTACTGACTGAAAGCTTTCAAATTCATTAAGCTGAAGCAAAGATACAAAATTAGCATGCTCTAAACTCTCTTGCTTCAAAACTACTGGCTGATCACTGTTGACAAATTTGATTTGTGGGATCTGAAGAAAATTAGCTACATATACCTTAAGCCTAAAATTCTTATTAATGAAAAGGGATAGACACTTTTTTTCATTTTTTTAGTACAAACCAAGCGAAAACATTTCGTAGAAGCGAACAGAGACAGTGTGTTTTAACTTGCATATGATGACTCAGTATATTTGAGGCAGAATGTGAGGCAACGGAAGCTTCTGTTCTGGGTAATTAGTTTAACTAGAACAGCAAAAAATCTGTCGGTTTATGTTTTGCTAGAGTATCATCCATCCAGGCCCCAGTTCCAACCTCTCTCTTCTATGACCACTTGAACTTACTCCAAAATCTCTGCTTTGAGAGAAGTTAATGAACCACAAGGTAAAACCAACATGAAAATCTAATTACTATTACAGGTGAATCACCCACCTCAGCAAACGTTTGACACTATACTAACCTCCTCATCTCCCTAGCTGGTATCACTCATCTTTATTTTGATTGGTTTTATGTACAAAAATAATTGTGACTGTAATGAAAATCATGGTATTACATGAGTAACACTTAACACTTTTAAAAGTACCCTGATAAGAGATTTTTCCTTGAGCTTTTCTACATGCTTTTTGCCTCAGTGCAGAGTAATAAAGAATTAAGTTCAGAATAAAACATGGAGCAGTCTTTTCTTCAAGCTGACTTTTCACACAAATTACAAGATGATGCACAAGCCTGAATTACTTCCAGTAACTTTTTCGTCACAACTACATTATCTTACTGCTCAAAAGAAATGTCAACATGTTTACCATGTGCAATCTAGTCAGTGCCACCCAAAACATCCCTTCCTTGATCTAAAATCAGAAAGAATAAAAACTTGTTTCCCAAGCTACACCTGGGGCTTACTTACCTCCTCCTGTTTCGTGCAGGTGTGTTGCATCGTTCCCCTGAGAAGTGGTGTTGGTTGGGTCGGGTCAAAGGAGGCTGCCTATTTGATGTCATCTCCCATGGTCGCATTGGTGGTGATGGGGCTGGTGATGCTGCTGTGTAGTCAAAGACTGAATGGGAAAGGCGTTGTCGCTTGGGACTAGGACTGTCTTCGCTCTACGCCAGTGCAAAGAAAACCAAAACAAAACAGAAACAAAACCCACCTCCAGATGAGTGAATTAAAATCCATACTTCAGCACCGCTTTGCACCTAGCATTTAGGAGTGACTCATTAAAGACTGAAGACTTAAACAACAAGAAATTTAGCACCTGCAAGTATTCACCCTTATATTGTGCTTATAAACACAGATTTTTAATGGTTCCCTAACCCCTGCAAGCATTATTATTTAAATCATATTTCAGCAGCACTAAAATATAAAAACTCCAACATCCATGCAAAATTAAAACTCTATCCAAAAAGAGTAACATGAAGAAAATAAGGCATCACCTATTTTACATTACTCCTGCCTTAGCACTTACAGGCTACTGAAGCATGGGAAGATGTATAAACACAGTCTTCACAGCAGTGGAATCTGTACTAGTCAGGAAGCAGCTGCCACAAAGAGCTTGCTGTCTGCATTGCACCCCCTTCCTATCAGGTTTTTATTTGGCTAATCAGACACAGAGATGCTTTATCCTTCTAATTATTCAGGTAATTATAACCATTCATACACATAACCTGAAAAAAAAAAAAATCATCAATCTCTGGTTAAGTTTGTCTACTTCATTAAAATTTCACAAGGCCAACAAATAGCCTGAAGTTTCCAGTGCCAGTGATGTGAAGGCTATTCATGTCCAAGCAATGTTTTCCCAGTTGGTTATGAGTACAACTACTTTTCACTGTGTGTCCAATGCTATCAAACAATTTAATACAGCTGCCGTTCTTCTCAGAAGTTCACACCAATGCCTATGAAGCCAGCAGCAAATGCAATAAACATCCCTCCACCCCACTATTCTGTCAAAGTTAAAACACAGCATGCTGACAAAAGGCATGACAATTGAAAACAGAGAAAAATACACATCATACTTCAGAGATCACCAACTGAACAAAAACTGAAAGCAGATGAACTACCACTAGAACCATCCTTGACTCCAAACATCATGTGAACTTCTCTGACAGAATTCCTAGTGCAAACAAACTTGTAGTATTTAGTTGCTCTCCACCTTGTCCAGTCACTCCATTTCTCTTTCAGTACACCACAGCACTATTTCAATTACATTTGCATGTAATTGCAGATAGCTGAAGCACAGAAGACAACTTGTCTGCAATGGCTCTGTGTTCCAGAACTGTCCACTCCCTCTCAATTCCTAGAGGTCTCACTTCAGACTTAATTGTAGACTGGACTGTGGACCTCTCCTGGCTCTTATCTTTACAAGGGCTAAAATTTTATTTTCTGAACTTAGTAAAGTTGCTTCTTGGTAGGTTCCCAACATATATTTTGTACTCCAGCCTTCTTTCCAGTACAAGGACACTCCTTTTAGGAAGTAGTAGTTTTGTCCATGTATTCAAGAGAAAAAAGGTATTTTCCATCTCTTTGACTTGTGGCCATTTTTTATAAAATTTTGGAGCTTTTCAGTCTCTTGTTTTCAAATATTTTAACACAGATTGTACTTCTTCCCTACTGTATCTTCTCTAAAACAGTCAGCTTCCTTAGGGAACCAACCTAATAACGAATACATCTGTTTGTTGCTCCATCTCTTTTGAACTCCTCAACCGACTGCACTTTAACTTTTTAGAGAAAAACAGATCAACAGGCAGGTATGCACCTGATGGTTCATGACAGTAGATGTCAATGTAAAGGGTGACTGCTCCAGAAGGCTGCTTGCCCTGAGAAGCTCAACGCCAAAAAAACTGGAAGAGATAGCCAGTAAGTGCCTTGAGAGCACAGCTTCTGTGAAAACATGTATTTTATTAGATTTCAGAGAACACTGCCAAGGACAAATCTTAAAGGAACTATACTACAAGAGTCAGAGAAGGATGATTTGTGGCCCAACTTTTTACACCATGATGACTAAGCTTATTCAAAGAGAAAGACAGGTAATAAAAATGCTGGTAAATTAGGTGTGCTAGGATTTTGCGAGTGCAAAAGGAAAGGTCAAAAGGAGGAAGAAAAGACTGGATTTAGTGAAGCTAAAGGCAGAGGACAAAACCTTGAAAGAATACAATAACCACTCCTGTCTTAATACAATCTACACATACCTTTGGCTGGGGATCTCCTGCTGCTACTGCCCTAATTTAAATGTGACACCCTTCCCAAGCATTAACACGAATATACCCTGCCCCATAGAAAGCAGTCTTTTTCCTTTTTTTTTTTCCTTTTCACTTTGGAAAAAGGAGTTCTTCTATTGTTGTTATTATTATTATGAGTATTATTAATATTATTATTCTTTTCCTTTTGCATCAGGAGTGCACCACTTCAAAGACTGTGAAGATGCAAACTGCTAAGTAGTTTGCCTTCATCATTACTCCAGATTACTGTCACAGCTATTTCAAACTCCTTAAATGCTAACTACCCTCTGCAGTTAGCAGCAGTAATTTTACTCAAAGTTGTTCCCATTAGAAAGAAAATAAAGGTAAATTTTTTTTTGGAACTACATGTACAGAGATTTTAAATGCATTTGTGTCTTCTTCTGAACTGAAAAAGAAGTAACCTAAAGCTAAGTTCAACTTATTTGTAAACAGATGTTATAAAAAACCCAAATACAAACCTAATTAATTGGAGATGTAGTGTTTTGTCTTAGTTTTTATTAAAAAACCAACTATCGTGTGGTAATTGTATCAAGAGAATACTAGCATGCAGGAAAGTACAAGGAGCTAGTAAGAGACACATATCCCGTATAATTTTGTTTTAATGTTATTTTCAATCAGCATGTACAATAACTATATCTTGACAGTATGTTTTTTCAATCTACATTATTACTGGTCAGTAAGTTCAGTAGTTTATTTATGGAATATGATACTTTACACAATGACAGGAGCTCTCCAAATCCCAAATCGCTCTTACTGCTTCTTGTTAGTATTCAAAATATTTTCTGGGACTACTACCACTTTTCCCAGCCATACACCATGTATTTTTCTCAAGTCCAACAGGCAACAAGAACAGACTGGATGGCAGTTATCAAGAACACTCTACCTAGCTTTTAAAAAAGATAAACTCGCTGCCTATCTTTAAAAAACACTGAACCAAAAGAGCAGGATGAACAGATTACTTTGTATTTAAAGGAAGTAGTGTCAGACTGTTACTAGTAAAAGAAGCAGTGTATGTCAGGCCACTAAAACCTACAATCTCACCCCTGAAAGTCAGCATTTCACTGACACTCCTAAAAGTTATCATTTCACTGACACACATAGTACCATTTTGTCTAATTCTTATCTGTGTACCCCATAAACTCTCATAAGTGTAAGGGTAATCAAGGTGAATAAGAAGTATGCCTATTTGTAAAACAACCTTTAGAAGTGTTTGTTCTATTTCTGTATATGTTTCTTGTGGTAAGGTTTTATTTGAAAGCTTTTTCAATTTTTTGGGAAAAAGTAGGTATTTTTACCAGGACAACACCCTTTGAGGTGTGTCTTTTTCACTGTCCTTTCCAGTAAAATTATAAATACTGCATCTACACTCTGATTATTAATTATCACAGAAGGGAATTATTATCAAAGGAATTCCTGCAAATATCTGAAAATCAGTTTCCTCTCCAAATCCCTATATATTCCCACTCAATGATCCTATGAAACACAAAAAACTTCTCCATACCCTCCATCTCAAATTCATGGAATACACTACATCTATCCTGCAGCCCACAAAATACCTGTATTTTAAAAGTAAACTAATACTTCAAGATTATTCTCATGCATATCCCATAGAAGGCTTTACACAAGGACAATCTGATGTGTATACCCCAAAAAACCCTACCAAGCTGAGAAGAAATAAATGAGCTGCATGTTTCCTCTTCACAAGTACATACTGAAAAGGAAATTATTTTTCCCCATGATACAAGTTGGTAAACATCAACATTTCTAAGCATTTTCAAATTTAACTATAGGCATCTAATGGCACTCAGTACTCTGCATATCCCATCTGCTCCAATTCTAACAACTGTAATTTGAATTACATTTCAACATTTCTGTTAAGGTCTGATTGTACCTACAGTAACAGTATGTTCTTGGGCTGAACAGTTACATCCAAATGCAGTAGCTTACTCATAATCCAAGACCAACCTAACTGTAAGTACATTTTTTGGCCTCGGCTGAGTAAGCTCTGGAAGAACTGTACCCCACAGCCCTAAAAACAAGACAAGGGAAATCACTCATGCAGTGGGATGGAGCCATTGTGGGCCAGACGGCTTTGGAAACATTACTGCCTTCTTCCATCTCTTCCACAGAAAGCAGCAGCCGTTTAACTTAGGTGTGGCATCACAAAGTAGAGTTTACAAGTCCACAGAAGTGCCCTGCAGCTGGCACTATAGATACAAAATCTGCAGGAAGTCAACAAAGTAATTCAGATAGCTACAGCCCCTCCAGCTCCAGCCACCAAGAGACTCACCCACTTCCACCACAGGCACTGCAAACCTGGTTGATGCAAACATCTCCAGTGAGAATCCAGCTGCTGGCCTAGTTTCTACTCAAGCTGGTCTCAGCTAGCCCCTGCAGCACTCACACACATGGTATAGAAAGTGACATTACATGGAGAGACAGTTAAGAAAAGATGTAATAAAACAGGAGAGACTGCAGGGATCAGGCACAGAGCTCAGCCAGAAAAGCATACTACAGTTTACCTGTATCAGCCCTTTTTCTGTCTGGCCCTGTTTTGTCCCTTTCCCAACTCTCCTCCCTTGCAAATCACCTTCTCAGATGGCATAGTCTACTGACCTGCCCCAACATCCTGGACCCTCAGGTTTGCATCCTTATCAGTAACAGAATTCTTGTTCACGTGCATTTTTCTGACAGCTCATCAGTTAGTGTGAGAGACAAGGTTTTGTTTCTTGTCTGGTTTTGTTTCTTGTCTCTGTCTCCATGAAGTTTGCTTCGCAGGTTTGTGTCTCTCTCCATATCTTGTTTATGGTTTCTTCCTTTCCCTTATAATGCCATTTGGTGAGGTCTACAATCAAATAATCTCCCTAAAATAAACACTCTTACATTCCAAACACCCTCTTCAATCAGTGACGGACCAGGTTTTTCTGCCTCCCTCATTTTTTGGTTAAACAGATTTGTACCTCAAAATGTTCCTATCTATTACAGCTTTTTATTCCTTGATCAGACACAACTTACACAAGCTGATAGTCTCTCCTTCCACATTCCTTTAGAGATCACAAAATCCTTTCACAAACAACATGGAGTACAATTGTAACCACTCTGTCAACTCGGGAAGAGTGAAATGAAGACTGATTATTAAAACAGTAAAAGCTAAGAAGAATATGGGAATAAACAACAGCCCTTTACCCTTGTCCTAAACAAGAATACTTAATGAAAATTCAAAGGTTTGGTGTAGCGGATGAGAAGAATTTGTTATGGTAAGTTTGTCTCTCCCATCGTTGGAAATGGAAAAATGGAAAATTCCACAAATGCTGAAGGGTTCGATCTGCAGCCTTGGAAAGAGCTTAGGTTAATGCAGTGATGAAGGTACACAGACCTTTGGTAGAGAAATTATTAACTTATGTTTCTATAGTTTTAAGTAAGAATAT